CTTAAGTACAATACTCAAGTAAATGTACTTAGTTACTGTCCGCCTCTGCCTGTCAATCATATGGCCTCCTGGGTGGGCCTTGGCCATTTAAAGCAGTCAAGGTTCCCAGACCTTCTGCCGTCAGTCTGCCTACGCGAGACTATCTAAAGATCTACAAAATGACAGATATAAAGTGTTCTTGTGAGTTTTTCCAAACACTTAATATGCAAGAGTCCAGTCAAACTTCAGCACACAGTAAAAAAATGATAAAATTTCAGCAATTTCAACTTTTATAAGCTATATGAAATTCAACTTGATTTTTTTTGTCAGTTTAATGTAATTTAAGTTGAAATTACTTGTACAACCAAGTTGATTATATTTGAGGCAGCAAATGAACAAGTTTTTAAGTTGAAATAGGTAGAAATGTTTTACAGTGCACCTTCTCGAAAAAGAAAAAAATATTATTTTTCACACATAAGCAACTGGAAAAAGACAATAACAATGAACTAATCAAGTTTTTTTTTTACATTTAAGAAAACACAAGTGGTGCTTGCCTGTACAAAACCCACAAAACCAAACTCTCAGTGGTTGAGGCATTGCCATAAATGTAGCCAAGTTTTCAACACATTTTATTGTCTGACAGGCAAAAATTGTCAGATCACTTAAGAAAGAAACAGCACACTTCTCAAGCTGCATTGTTTGAGATATCATTCATGTTCAAAGCACAAACAGCGAAGGCTGAGTTACACACTGAATTTACTGTAATACTTCGGTTTAGAGGTTTGTTCAAATCCTTAACCTAAAGTATGAGTAATAGTAATAGTGATGCTTGACTTGGCAAACACTCATAATAAATGTAAAAACCTTACACTTTCAATGCATCCACTCCTCCGATGACTTCCATTTGACCATCTTTTCCAGCTTTTCATCTCTCATGCGTTCTCACTTTCTGTTCCTTAAGTGTCTGAAGGGGGTGACCTCAGGGTAGACGGTTTGAGAGAGCCAAGCTTTACACCCTCTCCTCTCAAATTCAAATCAATTCCTCCCGTCTTCCCACTCCGCTCTCAATTCTAATTGGTATTTCTCACACTGTCACATTCAAGCAAAAATGAATTTGCGCATTGATTATCACAAGGCCTGAAATCGACCGTTTTTCAGGCACCAAAGGCCTCGTATTTAATGGTTATATATTTATTTGGAGGCTAGAGGCCGTTCCTGCATTCAGTCCAGATCGATCATCTTCCCTTTCCTCAATCTGACTTTCCCAAGGAAGCGCCAAGAAATTATGCAGCGAGCCATTGGTTTTACTTGGCAAAGGCTGTAGGCATGAGTCACACCGTGGCAGGGAATTCACCCAGGTCTTTACAGACGGTCATCCTCCATGCCCGAAAATAAAGAGATGGAACAGGTTGGACAGATACAGCCACCGAAGCGCTCTGCGTACGCTCTTTCAGACAGCAGAGGCAGTCTTTCTCTTTATGCATGCAGCAGACACAGGACCAGGGGGATGTTAAGCACAGATGTGTCCTTTCTACAGGAATGATCCAGCCTTGTTGGGGGCAACGGGAAAACAGGTTATCATGCTTCCAGCTTATTAAAGCTTTACTCAAGTACATCACACATTGATTAGCATTGCGATTGATTGGGCTTTTTAGGAATTTTGTTAGGGAGCAAGAGAAAGCATCATTTGAACACAAACACATGTACAAATCTTTTGTAAAAATAGGCATTTCCTACTTCCTCTGTATCCGTAGTAATTCACTGGCAATGAATGACTGAATACTGGAATAAGGTGCATTTGATATGCAGAATCACAGAGACTTTGCCATCATGCCAAGCCAGATGGACAGGCTTGCATGTAATCAGCTGGCAAATCCACTTGTCTTTTTCTTTTCTTGAGAGCGTAGCCGCCGAATACAGCGACAGACTAGCACAGCACATGTTCGCTTGCCTCAGTGCATCAATCCACATGACTAAAACCATGTGGTTCAATAACCATCCTCAATTTAACCTTCTTTTCCAGGGGAAAAATACTTCTAAACTTCCCGTTCTATAGCCAATTTCCAATTAATTTTCTAATCTTCATTGTTGCTCCTAATTTCTCTGTGTTAATTAATTTGCCAGTCTCGCTTTCTTTTAACACCTTTTGAATAATTCCTTGCTCCAGTAATATTTTTTATTCCTTGTTCCATTCCATCAATAACTGACTTTCCTCTTGTTCTTGGGCACAAAAAAAATTGCTCGAAGACTGAAATAGATTTTATCTACCTGCACAAATTGAGTCCCTTGGCATGAGGACTGACTTGGGGAGCCAGGATTTGAATTCATTACATTTTTTTTTACATCCAAGTAAGACATTCGAGGGCATAGGAATTCACATACATGATTTTTTTTATATTACATATGTTAAACTAAAGTTACATCATCCAAAGCAGCAAATCGCAGTCTTAAACGAGTAATCATATAATACAAGCAAAAATGCCCATACACAATGATAAACCATGAAAACACAATAATTGCACAACTTCTTAGCATTTCTTTATTCATTTTGTGATTATGGTGGTATTTTGTGTGGCCAGCTATAGTACATTGACACTCTACATGGTGACTTTCAGTCTGGGATGGTCACAGCACTAAAGACTCAATTTGGAGAGACATGTGACAACAGCTAAATAGTTAATGAAGTAAAACTGATGAAATGTAAGGCATGCAGGGGTCTTGATACATGCTTTTAAAATTGAACCATTTTAACTCAACAGTTTCTTCAATATGCAATACCCCTGGTGTTAGAAACTAAGCGTGCATTTGACGTAAATCTACATTGACCAATGATATAAAAATAGCTCAGGCAGAACTTGCTCTTTTGCCCAACGTCCCAATGCAGTTGATTCGTCTCTCTGGAACTCAAGCAGTCAAAATTACCAAAGTACACATCCCTAAAATCACTTTTGTACTCTTCCCTGAGCTATACTGAATGTATTCTTGACCTGTGTCTGAGGGTATTGTAAAGGAAAGCATTCAATCAAACTGACATCTTAGAAGAACGTTCTGAACAAGCACAACTCTTAGAAACATTCATACACAACAATAACAGCAAAAAAACACCACTAGTTCTCATAAATATTACTTTTTTTAAGTGGACCTGACAAGACTCAAAGGCCACGTACTCACTGTGAAGTTTCAGGAGTGACAACTGCATTTAAAAACAGGAATGAATCCCCTAAAATATTGTTCCATGTGTGTAAGGAACACAACTCACTCCTGAAATTTCCAAATACTAACATTCAGCGATTTTAACCAAATCACCATCTACAGAGGTGCTTTGTTTAATTTATTTTCATAAATCTGCTTCGCAAAGCATGTTCTTGCAATTTTGCCACATCCACTTGCCCACTACACTTTTCGGCAACTGTTTTTTCATGTATAGGCTTGTATGATATGGACCTTTGAGTCTGAAATAAAGTGTATTTTTAAATGTACATGTATAAGTGTCTTTGGCCTTACCTCATAAAGCAATCCAGTTCATGAAGTTGTTAAAGTGGGCAGGTACAAGTAAATGTTTTGGTCTTATTTCCAAAATAAAGCATTTGGATTTTTTTAGGTTTATTATAGACTTGTTCTTGTTCTAGCAAGACCTGGCAACCCAAATGAGCCAAGGCTCGTACCTCACTCTTTCCCTGTGATTTTGTCGCAAGAAGCGAGACACAGCTCTGATACGCATTTAAATATGCCATTAACTACTTGTTCAATTCAGTTCCATCCCCATTGCATAGAACTTTTGTTAATGCGGTTGTCGCTACCTGCATTTTTCAAGAGTTAATTCAGTTGTAGAATGCAGTTTTCACTACTGTAAATGACTGAACTGTGTATGTACAGAACAGGACTAAGCACTAAATGGTGAACTGACGCCCAGATATCTCAAAAGTATATTTTGCTATTTTTCTTTCATACATGCACAAACCTTTCACTCTTCTCCACTTCATATTTCATGAACCATACATAATTATCATCACCGATGTAACAAAATGAATGAATTATTCCATACAGACTACTTTTTATCTTGCTGTAAATGCAGATAAGCAGACATCTGTAGACATCTAACCAAAACTTGCGTTCAAACACAAAGGATAATTAAAGGTAATAGATAACAGTATCAACAGAATGTGACACGCAGGGAAACGTGTGACTGCTGTGCACTTTGAAGATGCTGTGGTTAAGATAATGAGGACCTGGGTATTAATGAGGCTCTCTTCTCATCTTTTCTACACACAAACACACACACACACACACACACACACACACACACACACACACACAAACTCTCTTACACATTTAATTGCTGCTGCAGCTGGTGCTTGTTGGGCCC